AATCTGTAAGGCAGAAGTCGCAGGCACACAATGGACCCTCTTTCAATCGCAGCATCGGCGATCACGCTGATTCAAGCAGTTGGCAATGTAAGAAGCGAATGGTGCCTAGGGATTGGATGCTAAATGCCATATTTTTCGACATAATTATCTGACACCACCAATCACTACAGGTTACCATGTCGCTTCAGCGGCTTGTACGCGCTCTCAAGACGGCGGGCTCGCGCATCACTGAGCTTTGTAACGAACTCGTCAATCTCACGACTTTTCTCGAGACCGTGGAACGCACCTTGAAGGGATGTCATCCGCTCGACTCGGCCTGCGTGGACGAGGGCCTGTGGTATCAGAGCGAGTTATGCCTCGCAGATTGCCATGTTACGCTCAACGAACTCTCTGTTCTGGTGGAAAATATAAAGCAAAACACAAGCTCTAAGAAATTCGGGTGGAGAGTGCGCGCCGCAGTCGACTTGAGCATCTACGATCCCGATATTGTCATCTTCAGGGACAAGATTCACAAGTCCAACTCGGCTCTGCAGACCTTGCTTCACGCTATCAACGTGTAGGTGCCTAGTCATTGACTGAAAAATCATATAATAATGTCAGACTAATACGTGATTAGATCCCTCTGTATTCGTAACAATGCCGGTCAGGAGATGATTCTATCCAAGCTTGACCGGCTCAAGTCATCCATCAACGAGGCTCTGCGCGCTTCGCTCCAGCCTTCTCAGGCCTTCAGCCACGGCCGCTCCTCAGATGCGCGCGTGTCACGCAATCTTCGCAATCTTGCGGAAGCAGCTAGCCAATTTCACACGACCGCTAGCTCAACTGCGAGCACCATAGACGGCCATGGCAGTAGCTTGCTTGGTGACTTCCCTAGCTACCGTCGTGAGCGCGTAGAGAGGTTCATCAGATCTGTCCCTGGGCACAATGCGGGTGACGCCACGCCTGCCGTAGTGGCCTCGCCTGCGCCAGATTCGGTATTTCGTAGCCCTCTATCGACACTCGTCGTTAACCCTCAACCCGTTCGGGTTACAACATCCATCCCCCGATGGTCTTCTCTCGAGGATGTCGAGAACGACGAGGACGACGAGGCAGAATTTGAGAGGCTGTTTCTTGACGGACTCGAAGATCTTGCCAAGGACAGCATTGGCAGAAATGAGTTTGAGAAGGCCATTGGCCTTCTCACCGAGGCCATCCAGCGAAAGGGAAACGACGGCTCCGAGCATGAAGGATTCCAGCGGCTCCAGACGCAACTCGCTCTGTGTCACTTTTTCAGGGATGACTGGAGGCAAGCCGAGCCAATCGTCTCCGCACTGACAACAACCGTAAATCCGCACTCGTGCTTGAAGCCGGTTATATGGACCATGATCCATGCCTTGTCCCTCGGTCATTTATCAACGTACGAGTTTGATAACGCCCTAAAAACTTGTAAGAAGGCCATAAAACTTCAGAGGAAGTGGATGAGGGCTACGGGGACGGATCGACGTGACGTCCAGGGCTGCGCAGAGACGACCGGACTACTCGCAACTATCTACGAGATGCAAGGCGACTATATCGCTGCCGAGATTTACCGGCGTCAACTGCCACAGAACTTCGCTTACCAACACTTCTCGAACCCCCGCAAGTTTCTCTCGGACCAGCGCGACGCTCTGGGGAGAGTACTTGGGGGCGATCTGCCAGACTTTTGTGACCAACCCCCCGTGAATGACGTACCTGGATTTTATGAACTCCAGGGAAGCACAGATTATATCACACAACCGGTGGTTAGGCGGCACATTACATTGCGCAGATACCGCACGGTCAACGGTGGTTATGATACGACACCTGAGTCTCCCCTGAGGGCCTGTCGCCACCAATGGGAAAAGTTTGAGCTGGACACAACTAAGGAAGTTATCGTGTCCATGTCTGATTCCGCTGAGACGGCGGACACGGACCACGAAGACATATCAATGGCTACGTATAGTCCATCTGAAACATGTAAACCCGGCCTTGGCGACCTTAGAAGAAGGGCCACGCGAATTTTTGGCTCGGGGCGTCGTCGAAACCGAGCTCGACGCCAACGGGAACCTGAATACGACCCGGAACCTGATGTTTGTTCCGATAGGTCTCCGATTCGAAGATGGTTGAAAGGGGTCAATATGTTCGCCGTCAAGCCGTCCAGGGGCGTTCTTAAGAAGAGCCCAAACAACGGCATGCCCACAGCCGCTGCCCTTGGTCGCAAGCGTCCTGGTACATTCCGTGTGATAAACGTTCGCCGCTTCACTCTGGATTCGGTCGAGTCGTTTTCGAATCACCAGTTGCCAGAGCAGCACCCCCCCTCTTCGTGTGACGACTGTCCGGTCTCAGAACTGTCTGGAGCTTCCTGTGATAGTTCTCCTTCCGAGAGAACTCCCGCGAACGAGTGGGCGCCTGCTTCCACCGAACAGGTTGCGATGCAATTTAATGACAGCGTCCCAAGCTCCAGTAATGGAAGCCGGGAGACGCAGCTCACACTCTCTGTCTCTGAGCGACATGTCGCCCTTGGCATTGCAGAGCTCATGGGCACCCCCCTCCATGGCACTAGCATGCAGCAGGCCTCTAATCCAGCCGACATCATCGAAATGGTCCACCGCTATTCATTGGTCCCGCCAGAACGCATCCTTGCTTCTAACCACGGAAAGGGCGAAATGTCGTACCTGGCGTTTCCCCAAAGCCCTAAGACAGTAACAGCATATGAAGCTCATGCCTGGTTATCCCAGGAGAACGAAGTTATATCCAGCGACGCAGATATACACCTTATTACCGCACCTGCAGGAGGAGCAGAGGACCAGGACGCACCCTTCGAAGCGGACCATCATTTGGCCGGCGCAGCCCCCCAACAAGAACAAGACGCTGCTGGTAACGACGGCAATGATGACGATGACAACAGCGACAACAATGACATGGCCTTCGTCACAAGCACGCGCGAAACATTCCAACGCAAACGGCGGCGGACGGCAGCCCTCCAGCACAAACCCACCAGGGCGGCGGCCTTACCGGATGAAGTGATCACAATCTTGTCTCGGCTCGCGTGCATCCTCGCTTCGCTCCCAGCCTGCAGGGAACTTGGAGGAGACCGCCTCCGGGCTTCGCGGCATGAGCTCAAGGCGCTATTGGCGAGTCTTGAGGGGGAAGCGGAAGGGATGTGGAACGCTGACCCAGTCCTCCATCGCGATGTGCAGGCAGTATTGGACTCACTTTTTGCCGAGGAGGAGGCCGCCGTCAACGTCGACGGTGGCGAGCACGACTTCGAGCACGATTCTATAAGCGACCTTTCTGCGCCGAGGAGCGACGACAACGACGATTTTGAGTTTTCGGCTGCGGAGAGTACCTCTAGCCCGGAATCACCATTGGATGTTGTGTATGGAGAGTGGTTAGAGCTGGGGCAACAGAGAATGCGCGAATCGAACGCTCAAGAGCCGAGCATACCCGAGTTAAAACGGAAATGCTCTTGGGTAGCGGAAGACGAAGCTGTGTTTTCGGCGACTACCCCTTAGAAATATCGTGGCAGATCCCACAACCAGAAACAGAGTCGTCATGAGAATAAGAGCTAGGTTTGATCCGCTCGGGCCGAGCATCGACGAGCGGAGTTCCGTGTCGGTGATAAGGAATATCATCGCAATGGGACATAATATTGGAAGAGATGATCGTGGGTGAGAGCGTAGAAGAGAGTAAGTCCATACAGATGATGGTATTTTGAAGTAAGCGGTTGTCCATATCATTGGTATATTAACAGCGACGGATATTTTGGAAATCTCAGTGCCAAAGTCAAAGTTCGTCTTTTATCGTTCAGAAGGTGTAATTAATATACATTGCTCCATTGTGTAAATGATATTGTACATCATGGTGGATAAGCGGGATTTAAGATATGATAAGTGCTATTTCTCTTCTCCGGCTCCCTTGTCAGGGGCGAATGCCTTGAGTTCCGGGTCCACGGTGCCTAGCATTTTTGCCGTAGCGTTGGCCTGCCACTTCTTGAGCATCACCCCGACGCCTTCGTTGTCGTAATCTTTGGCGCTGGCCTGGTCCTTGTGGTACTTGACCCGGATGAAGTCTGCGTCGACAGTGGCCGGGTCGAGCGAGAGGGATACCAGCGAGCGGAGTGTTATCGTCTTGGGCACCAACTTGGGGTGCCACTCCATGTGGTGTAGAAATTGAATGAGGTCCCTGTCGTTGGTGACGACCTGATGACCACGGCTCTTCGCCTCATTGATAATGTACGGAAGGCCAAACCACTGACCGGCGATTTTGTAGCGGTCGTCGGCGTAGCCAAGTTCGTCGTTGTACACGGCATCGGGCGTGTAGCGCATGATGCGTTCTACCGAAGCCCCCATTTCGTAAAGGGAAATGATGTTGTCGACCAGCGCTTGGCGAGCCGGTGATAAGGGAAGCGATTTATCTGGGTTTGGGGTGTAATCGCCCATCGGGTCATTTTGTCGTGGCTCAAAGAATTTGCCCGGAAGCTTGGGATCAGTTGAGAAATGCACCTTCGCAGATTCCCAGAGGCTTTGACCTTGTGACGCGGCAAGGGTAGTTTGTGACATGTTGGCGGTCCTGTTCAGTAATTTAATTGCTTTATTTTCATTGGCTTCAGTTTCTCTGGGTGAAGCCGTAACAAAGAGGCTTATTTGTATAGAAATGCTGATGCGTGACCAGGTTCGATGACGTCGACGGCGGACACTCCCGCTGGCTTGATCTACGTTACAGACCAACGCGTCCACCTAGACTAACTCCTTACCAACGTGGAAGATACCCTAGTTAGCGCTGTTGGAGATCGATCAACTTCAGGTTTGTTAGGAGCATACAATGCTAGGATACACGATCCATGCCCTGTCATGGTCCGTTTTTCATGTGTTGTATTTGTTGGCAAAACAGGAAGTTGCCAAGCGGTTCTGGGTGAATACTCCGCATCGACGTTTACAGTTTAAAAAAGACAATAATTGCGAAGCAATAGTCTTGCCTCTCACTCCTCGCAAAAGAGGACCTGACAAGGGTGAGATTCGAACTCACGCCCCTTTCGAGACCACGGAACTCAACGAGTATATTTTAAGGATAAAGTCCTTAACGTGGCGCCTTGGACCGCTCGGCCACCTTGCCTCTATTGCCGGGTATGCCTGGTTAGAGGGATTTGTGGGAAGTTGTGTCCCCATTGACTCTGTTTCTCGATGGGGAAGCGGGGACACTAAATCGGGGGCACAGCCCTCTTGGCCCACATCGATCTTTCCCCATGGAGTTATCTATATAGTAGTTACGCTAACAGCCAATAGCAAACAAGACAAAACACCATATTCGGGTATGGTGTAGTGGCTAACATCGTTGACTCTCATTGCAAAGCAGTGAACGCTCTCAACAGCCCCGGGTTCGATTCCCGGTACCCGAGTCATTTTTTTTGTTCTTATTGTTCGGTCTCCAGCCGTATTTGCTGTAGTGTGGTCCTTGCACCGTTACGAATTAATATGGCGGTTTTCTCAATAACAGTGGTGGTGTTCTTGCTAAAGCTTCTCTATAAGGTTCCTATCGGTCCCCTTAACTAACAGTGAAGCTGGCTCCCAAATGATTTTGGTTGAATCTTTGTCGTGTCGTGAAGGGAGACCCAACATGGTCCAACCGCCTTAAAATGGGTTTGGCGCGTTTATCTGAGCTGAACTACCCCCCCTTGGGCACCACTGACCGCGGGCGATGATTAAACTTGAGAACTGGACAAATGGGCCGGCAGAATTAGTTGCTCCTGGCTAGTCATGTAACGTACAACTGCTTAACGATCCAATGCAGCGTATTGGGTTACGGCCATTAGGGGATGGGAAAATACATGGAAGACGCTGAACCGGGTGATGTGGCCGCCGTTTGGACGGGAGCGGGGTTAGTGAGGTTTACCCAAGAGAATTCTTACTGGAGGTAAGCTGTATAAGTGATCCCATCGTGTTGGCTCAGAATATTGACGCTTGGCTACGGCAGTGAGTTACAGAAAAGGTCTCATGATGGACAGAAATTGATCTGTTTTGTCCACACCATTGTCCTGGTTACCTTATCACAGAAGGCGGGACTCTATCCCTCGCTCTCAAATCTCAATGCTTCAGACCCAGCCAGACTCCTCCTTTGTAGCTTTCTTTACGCCAAAGCGCTGCGACAGGGACACCCAGCCGCCGGTATAACAGAGAACACGGAAGGAGGCGGAATGGGGCTTCTCGCAGAAAGCTTTGTCTAAGGCATTCTCGACAACGTTGTAGTCGACGAAGCCAAGATTCTCAACTGCCTCGCGCGTCAACAGCTTCTTGAACATGTTATGTAAGGGGCCGTCCCGGGTCCAGCGAGTCGGGGCCAGGAAAGGGAGCTTGCGGCGCTTGTAGAGCTCATCGGTAATGTAGGGGCGAGCCGCCTCGCGCAGGATTGCCTTTTCATTGATGGTGCGTAGTGCCTCGCCGGCAGCCTTCCACCAAAAGTTGTCGACATCGTCGGCCTTGCCGTCCTCCTCGGGCGGGGTATAGCGGAGCTTAGTGCTGGGCGGGAGGCCATTGACATACTCGGCGAGATGATGGTCGAGAAACGGGGTACGGGCCTCGATACTGTGGGCCATCTCAGTCCGGTCGCCCAGGCAGGAGAGGATGACGTTGATGAGGGTGCTCTTGTTCCACATGTACATGGCCGTGTGGGCGGGATGCCACTTCTCGCGCATCTTGGCTCGGACCTCGGCCGAGTGGCCCTTCAGAACTGTCTCGCGCATGTCCCACTTGTCCTCACCGTACTGCTCCTGGACCCATTTTTGAAAGAGGTTGTTGGATGGGTGCCAGGCGAGGAGGCTTTCGGGCATGGTGTTCCCCCGTGCGTCGGCCATGATGGGCGCCTCAGAGGCACCTTCGTACTCGGCTGCTCCCTGGGAGCGCCAGACAGCATTCATTTCGTCGCTTGCAGAGCGTTGCAGACGTTCACGCAGCTCGTCATCCCGGGCGAGGATGGAATCGGGGAGGCCGCCATCTCGTTCACGAAGGAATTCGGCTGGGAAGTATGGGTAGCCTGCGAAGTGCTCGTCGGATCCTTCGCCTGTGAGGACGACCTTGATACCGTGTTCGCGGGGAAGGGTGGAGAGGGCGAACTTGGCGACGGCGTTGAGGTCAAAGTGATGGTGTTCGCAGTGATATGCGGCGTCTGCAAAGTCGTCGGCTAGTCTTTGCTCGTCTATGATACGTTTGAAGATCTCAATGCCGAGCCATTTGGCTGTACGGTCCGCAATGTCTTTTTGGCGCGATTGAATAAATCAATAACTGACTCAGATACATGGAGAAGGTTTTGGGCGGTTCCGCTAAAGGGGTTAAGAAGAAGAATATGGCTTACCAGACTCGTTGTAGCCTGACTCGGATGGGAACTCGACGCTGAAGCAAGCCACTCGAGTTGCCTGCTCGCTGCCAATTTTTACACCCTCCTTCCGAGCCAATTCGGTGACAATGCCGGCGACAGTTGATGAGTCAATGCCACCCGATAGGTAGATGCCGATGGGCACGTCAGCTCTCATCCTGAGGCGGACAGCTTCGACTAGGCGTTCACGGACACCGAGGACCATTTCCTCGTGAGAACGGGGGTCCGGCTTGGTCTGTATGGGGGAGAAGGAGAAGAGAGATATCAGCGCCCTAGATCATGTGGATAGGGTTGAGGAGAGAGGGGGCCAGAGGAAACAAGAACACTTTGAATCAGATAATGACATACCTTGTCGGGGTATTCGGCATCCCAATACTTGTGAATCTCCACGCCTTCTTCTTCGGTAATCTCCATCCAGTGACCCGGCATGAGCTTCCTGACGCCTTTGAATACAGTCCGGTCATCCATCATCCAGCCGCTGTCGGTGATGGCGCGGACGTCCCACTCGGGCTGCCAGCCCATGGGCAGGAACGCTTTGGCCTCAGCAGCAAAAAGAACCCTGTTTCCATGGACGGTCCAAACCAGGGGCTTAATTCCAAAGCGGTCACGGCCAGCAATGATCCTCCGGCTACCCTCGCGGCTATCAAAGAGCACAAAGGCATACTCTCCGCGTAAGTGCTCTAGGAAGCCCGGCGCGCCGTATATTTTGTACAATGCGATAACTAGCTCGCTGTCGCTCTCACCGGTAAAGCGGTAGCCGTGTTCTGATGCGCAAACCTGGCGCAAGCGGTCGTGATCATATATCTCGCCGTTGACAACTGCGTGGATCGTACCGTCATCGCTGTGCAAGGGCTGCGCGCCGCTTGGTGATAGGTCGTTGATCGAAAGGCGGCAATGTCCCAGACCTACACGTCCGTCGTCGCTCACCCACACGCCTGAGCCATCGGGGCCGCGGTGCTGGATGACATTAACAGCGGCCTGGAGCTGCGAGGCGAGCTTCTGACGGGAGGTCTCATCGGCGTAGGACTCTAGGGTGGGCTTGATGTTGTCGCCGTTCATGTGGCCATTAATCGCGGCGCCATTGGTATGGCCATTGAGCCAACCGTTAGCATGTCCGTTAGAATGGCCGTTAGAATGGCCGTTGGTGTGCCCGTTGGTGTGCCCGTTGGTGTATTGTTTGGTGTGGCCTATGACATGGCCGTGGATGTGATGATTCGGTAGCGCCTTCGGGCAGACACAGATGGCGATTATGCCGCACATGTTTAGGACTCGAACTACCCGGTGTAGCTGATAAAGGAGTGTTCAAAAAAGGAGTATATAAATTGGGGTTTGTTGAGGGAGATAAGGATCACGTCGTCGATGAGATCACGATGAGATCAAAGAGTGAGTGGAATCGCTTCACATGATATCTTCCAACATCTTCAGTTAAAACACCCACTGTGTCTGTTTGAGACTGCATTTTGTATCGGCGTTTACCTCCTCGGCGAGGATACATGTTGTGATAGTTCGGATCCCATCCAGGCACCGGCGTTCAAACAATCAGGCGAATTACCATTCAAAATTGTCTCCCAAGGGAACTCAATTTCGATCTTTGCCTTGCTAGACAGGGCCCAGCGGAACGATTGGATGGAGGTGGTCTTATATGTCTCGGGCCGAACCAAATTCGGGAAGCGAGATTTTTTTGTACATACAATCGTTCCGGGCGGAATTGTAACCCAACAGGTAGTCCGACGTCTCCATGTATGATTCTCTGCAGTCGAGGCCGGTTTTGTTATTCTCCAGTGCTGTGTCCTCTCTCCTCATCTCAATCTCTCAGTAAAAACATCTACAAAAGTCAATATGAACGGATAGATACACAAGTCAAGGGAATAGCGAGAGTGTCAGACGTGCTAGACAGGTTGATTGTCTCTAAAGACTTTTGTTTTTGCGATGCAAATGCGACGTTTCTTCATCGGCCATAGCGCCGGTGAGCATGGCCAAGATATTGATCTCTCAGGGTTTAGCAGCCTCCAACAACTAAAGTCGACACTTGGTGAAGCATTTTCGTTCGCTGATCCTTCGTGTAAGCCGGCCCTTCACGCCCACCTCATGGAACCAGACTATAGAACAGAAACTGACTGGCTGGATTGTAACTAGCTCTACTGCTACACAGTAACCAGTCTGGAGAGTTGAAAAACTTGGAGGCCGTCAAGTCATGCAAAGAACCTGTTGAGCTAAGGGTAGTCCAGAATGCTGGGTCGTCCATTCGAGTACCTCCAGGTCCCCGGGAACTCCCCGTCGTGGGTAACCACTACGAGATATACCCCGACCCTTTGGGTAACTATGACCGTCTTTTTGCGCGGTACGGCCCCATTGTCAAGACGGTCAACATGGGCACAACCACCTACCAGACCAACGATCCGGAAATTGCTCGCTACGTCCTGCGCGAGGGAGACTTGTTCACCAAGACCACCTCAGAACAGACGCACCCGCTGTATTACATGCAGGAACAGTCGGCACTCTTCACGTGTGACAGCGATTCGCCGGCATTTTCCGTTGCGCACAAGTTTGTCCCGCCGGCCCTCTCGCCCCGTGCCGTTGCTCACCATACACCACTGATCCAGAAGGCGGCACGGTCCATCTTCCCCGTGCTCGATCTTCTTGCGGACGAAGACAAGGCCTTCAACGTGTATCAATACATGTTTAAGTTAGCAGGCATGGTCATCTGGGCTGTCGTTGTCAACGAAGACCTCGAGCACTTCAAGGCG